CACCACCACCACCACCACCACCACCACCACCACCACCATCGAACTGGATTTGCCGTAAAAAAATGTTCGGATCTGCTGATGGCCAATTTTTCTCTGTCCTCTTCTCTCTCTCTCTCAAATTAACGGGAAAGAGATTCATCATCATTCCAACTTCTCATAGGATTTTAGAAGTGGTAAGAGAATAATTTATCATCCGGATTGGGAGAAAATTCTTCAATTTTTAGCTTTCATTAGTATGAGTGGCTTGAAATTTCGAAAACATTTCACCCATTCCTCCGTTTATCTCTTAATTGTTTCCCTTTAATTTATTTCTGAATTTCTTTTTCTCGAAATTAATCTCTCAAAAATAGTTTGTTTCTTATTTGCTCTTTTTTATGACTATCTAAATCAAGTAAGAAAAAAGCAAAACAGTGTTAGAGTAATCAAAAATGCTATACAAAGTTGGAATTTTCTGATTGTGAAGGCAGTAGACCATTAGGTTGTATTAAAACATATTCTACAGAGTTTTAAATTAAAACAAGAAATACTCTTTCAGCCTAGAAGAGATATTAATTTGAGTTTTGATTTAATCAGAAAATTTCTTTCAGAAAGATCATACTAGGCTGTATTTCACGTCAATCGCATAGAAGATGAGCTCGGCTGGATGATCGGATAGTGCCAATTAGCAATCTTGTAGAATAGCGAAGTCCAGAAGTGATCAGTATCGTAAGCTCTCTACTCTCTACAGTTTCTTCACTTGCCTAGTTTATGTTTTATTGATCAGTACTGTTTGTAAATTCGTTCTGTAACGTCAGCCATTCATTCTTTTTCAGTAATTTCATCGAACTTCAAACATTAGTCGTTTGAATGGCGCAATGATAACAGAATGGTTTGGTTGAAATGATACAATAAATGCTACTGATCAATGCCATTAGTAAAATGAAATTTTGTTACTTTTGATTCTTAACCGCTGAAAGTATCAATGATGCGGACGAATACACATTACATAGCGGTAGCGATTGCTATGTCTTTGCTGTGGATATTCATTATGGTGGCATATTTGGGATTACTAGACGAGCCGAGAGCACGAATCAGTTCCTCACATCAACGATATCATGCATCTGCTCATTCAACTTCTCATAGTCATTCGGAGCCGCTAATACTGCCCATAACTCTTGAAAATAATGATAACAATAATGATATATCGAAAGAAATGCAGGAAGAGCAATTTTCACTGAACAAAATACCAGAAGTTGATCTCGAGAAGTTGTCTGTCGTGCAAAATCAACAAGAACAGGTAACTTTACTGTATTTTTGTACTACTTGCTGATTATTAACGTCTCGTTTGTTTCTCAGAAAATGATACAGTCGTGTACAGCCGTTATGTGAGCTAGTTAAATTATTTCTGTTTATTCCAATTAACACTAGTTAGACATCATTTGTCGGCATGTCTTTTTTTAAATTGTCTCTTAAGTTTCCGATTAATACGTTATGATATTAACTAGCATTTTGCTGATTTACAGGCTGATTCAGCGGGATATTTCTTTATATTTATTTTCTTTTATGATTTTATTTTTTGTTGAGATTGCTGAATCTAAGTAAATATTATATGTTGTGATGCGTCGAAATTTCTAAGCAGTATGTTTTGGATAGATTTTGTACAAATTTTACGAAACTTTTAGAATCAACGTGAAATAAGTTACGCCAAATATGCGTTCAATGAATTTCTGAGCAACAGAATTGGACCACGACGAAAGATTCCAGATACACGCCATTACTTGTGAGATTTACTTGAAACTTGACAAATGGATGAATTGGAAGCTGACTTCAAATCGTGGCTTTAGTGTCCATTTTGAGTTGTGCGAATTGCTGTGACTATTTTGTTCATGACATAAATTATCATTATCATTAGACTGATGATCGCTTTGTTATAGATATCGTTTTTGCTTCTCACATTTATCTCAGTGTTTTCAATTTAATTTATTAAAATAATGGTTCATTTTGTTAACGATGCTTGTTCATTTTGAAGTCTATTTATTTAAGGAATTAAACTTTTGGACATTTATTGCTGTATATTTCAGGTGTCTGAATGAGAGCTATTCGGAAGAATTACCAGCAGCAAGTATTATTATCTGTTATTATAACGAAGCTTCATCAGCTCTGATTCGCATGGTTAATAGTATTCTGGACAGAACACCATCAAATTTGGTTAAAGAAATATTACTGGTGAATGACTACAGCAATCTCGGTTTGTTTGGTTCTTATAAATTGAAGGAAAGAATGGCTCTATTTCAAGAAATGGTATTACATATGTAATTAAAGATACCGAAATCGTTTCTTAGATTTGGCCTTTATACATGACTCTTATATGAACGAGTAGTACATGAAACAAGGATTAAATCATGAGTGAATGGAGAGCAATATCTGTAAATCTATTCACATTAGTGTCCTAAATCTTTAAGTAAATATATTTGTTTTTATAGATAGTATCTTCAGACAATGCATCTGATGTCGCAGTGCGCGCATACGCTCGTGATAATTGGAATAGTGACGTGGTGAAAATGTTGAGTACGGAAAGAAATGAGGGATTGATTCGAGCCAAAATATTTGGAGCGCAACATGCTATAGGTGAGATACTGGTATTTCTCGATAGTCACTGCGAAGTGAATGAACGATGGCTCGAACCTTTGCTGGATCGAATTGTTGCTGATAGGCATACGTTAGTTTCAGAATTTTTGAAATACATAGATAATCAAAGTGATTTTTGCTCTATTAGTGCAAAATGTATTGTTTGTTTTTCTGCTAAAACCACTGAAACTGTCGCATTTCTTCATTCCATTTTCTCTCATATGAAAATGCCAATATATTGAACATTGCCAGATTTTCATAAAAGACTAATGAACATTTTGCTATTTGTTTGGTCTTTATTATCTGAAATGCAATTGTATAAATTCAGCCACTTTGAAGTTCCACGACAATTACAATACGCTTTATGTTGCTTAGTCATTTCCATACGAGTAATTCAACGTGATCCTGGATAGCTTTATAACTCTTCTTGAATATTTTAGGGTTGTCTGTCCGATTATCGACATTATTGATGCAGACACTTTTAAGTATATCCAATCGCCAGTATGCAAAGGAGGCATGTCTTGGTCACTAGCATTCAAATGGGATTATTTCCCACCGTCGTATTTCGATGACCCTAAACAATATATACGCCCACTGAAATCACCAACAATGGCTGGTGGTTTATTTGCTATTGACAAAAAATATTTCGATAGTCTTGGACAGTATGATCGAGGAATGGAAATTTGGGGAGCAGAGAATGTAGAAATTTCTTTAAGGGTGAAAATTATTTTTTTTCATAATTTCACCATAATATTCAATATGTCCATCAGAATCTTCGGCTGAACTTCAGGATCCTCGTGATCCTAATTTGCATATATGATTGGGTGTATGTGAGATTTCCTGGAAGCGGGACTTCCATGATAAACACTGTGATTCTGTTCATCACGAAAGTTCCCGCTTCATTTTGATTAATTTGAGTGTTATTTTTAGAAGAACTAGCCGCTTACAGATTTGGATGTGTGGCGGACGTTTGGAAATTATCCCGTGTAGTAGAGTTGGTCACATATTTCGTCAACGGAGACCTTACGGACTTGGAATTGATTCAATGGGCAGAAACGCAGCTCGTGCTGCCAATGTTTGGCTCGATGAATATATTGTACAGATTTCATTTCCTTTCTAACAAATTCAAGCTTTAAGATTTACATTACTGTTTAATATCGTTCATTTGTTACAAATTAATCATATGAATATGTTATAGATACTGATCAGATAGTTTTCTTTGTTTCAAAAATAAAGCATCTTTCTATTATTTTTCATTATTAGCCGTCACTGTCACTTTTAGAGATGACAAGGTTATATACAGAGGTGCTTTCAATCCAGATAATTTTTATAGATAAATACAAAATAAAAGCATACTTTTGTATTACTGTTAAACTTACATTTTTCGATATATATTGTTTCCTCTGTTGAACTTGACTCTTATTGTGCCACTATTTCTGAACGAAAAAAAGATATTTCTCTCCTCTACAAAAATAATGGATGATTTTTCAGGAGCAGTTTTATGCAGTCAGGCCAAATCTGCGAGGGATCGATATAGGCGACATAAGCGAAATGAAAGCATTACGCCAAAAACTACACTGCAGATCGTTTTCATGGTATCTTCAAAATATTTATCCAGAATTACTGCCGAACAATCATCCAGCAATGGTCGATTTGAAGAAATCTGATATGCTGCGGAATAGAAATATTGAAAGATATCACGTGAGATTTAAGCATTGTTGAAGGTCAAAATTGCAATGAAAAATAGTATTCAATGTAGCAGAGCGGGCTACAATAGACCAAGACTTTTGCAAGTTCTAAATTGAAATTTATTTTGCAGATAATCTTATATAACACAAGCTTATGCTTGACAGCTCAGTCAACAAATGGACGTTTGGTGAGGGGGAATAGGATTATTGTAGAGTATTGCCGGAAAGGAGATCGTCATCAAAGTTGGCACTGGACAAAACTTGGCGAACTTCGCCCCATGGGTTCAGCAACGCTCTGTCTCGACTCACTGAAGGTATCTCCTATGCGTTACTAAATATTCTTTCCTCCACATGCTTAAATGCAAAAACTATTTGTTCTGTATTCTGTTTGTCAACAAAAAGCACCTTTTCTGAGTAATCAATGATTGAGGTTATTTATTGCATTAGTAATATGGATTGGCAAAGTATAAAATTGCCAAGTTATTAAGAGCTGTTTCAATAATTATTTTCTAGGGGCCACGTATTCTAAAATGTCACCTACAACGCGCTCACCAAGAATGGTCGCTAATGGTAAGCAGTAATTTAGAACCAACTTTGCTATTCTATGGGAAGAAACTTCAGTAAAAAAATTACCGAAACCGATGTCTACAAAACATTCGAATCTGAGTTTCTGAGACAATATTGTGAATGTTTCAGGATCGTAAAATCTACAATGCAGCCGTCGGTCAATGCATACACGGCGAAAAGCAATTGTCCAGTATAACTAAAAATCGTTTTTGCTCTATTGCAAGTGAATGGGAATTTTGGGTTGACACTCAAACTAGGTGAACCAAATTGTGCCTTCTTTACCTATTTACCAGTTACCAGTCATGCTTGAAGACGTTCGACATGCTGACACCATATAAAAGCATTCGCTTGAGGAATCAGCTATTAAAACTAACTCATCCTACTTCTTTGTTAAAATGTCATTCTGTAAAAATTACCCATGCAGACTCATTTTACTATAAACAGAAATTCCTTTTAGAATATTTCTTCAAATTATTTTGATATTGGAAAGTGGAACACAACTTCGAATTTTTGTTGACAAATTATCATTAAACGCAGTGAAAAACATACCCTCAACGATAAAAATGACAAATTCATTGGAACACTAGATTAAAGCCAACAAACATCATATACATATGTTGTCTAAAACAATCATATATTTTATTTACACTGTGCTGACAATAGAGGTAAAGGCGAAATTGTTTGTTTTTTCTTTCAATATTAGTACAAAATCAGTTATATTATTTCTTTTAACTGACGTTCACAATATGCATCTCATTATTTCCAAACTTCAGAAGTACCCGTGACCTATCAGGAATGAAATATAACTTTTAAACTAAAATTTCCAAACTACTGAATAAAGTTTTCTCGTTACATATCAGTATAAATTTGAACAAATTTCTTTCTTCTCTAGAACGACAATAAAATAACCCCGCTGTTTCCTCAACATTTGTAGTGGAAAATTAGCATAATGTGAGAGATTTTGTACATGGAATGAAAAAGAAAATTATTTTTCTGCAGATACTCCAGGGCTAGCATGTTCAACCGTGCGTTGCAAAAATGTACAATAGCTATCGAAGGGCATAGGGATCAAATCCTTTATCGACCAGAAATAAACTTCCTTTGTTTTAGTTGGAGCTGCCGACTGATCAGAGCTTCCTCTTCTTTGTGCACCGACTCGAAACATATATGGTTTAAAAAGTACACTTTTGAAAGATAATTGATACCGCTCATTATCAAATTTCAGGAATTTAGCAACTTCATCTGCTTGCTCCCCTACCAATTTCTGTGCACAATCATCAAATGCAGTCACATAAACAGTTCCCGTAAAATCGAATAATTCCATCTGAAAAAGAACTTGATGGAATCTTGTCAGCTTTTGGATGAAAGATTTTGAAAATTCAAAGTTTAAGAATGATCAGACAAAAAAAATTTCTCGCAACTTATCATAGGAAGAAAGAATCGGACAACATTCTAACTCCGCACAAGAATCATCTGTAGCTATCAGATCAGGAATAAACTGATAATGCAAGTGGCAGGCACTTATTCGAAAGCGTGATAACAACGATATTTATAAATAAATATCTACTAGAAATTTTGGGATACCGATTTGTCTTCAAGCCAAATTACATTCAAAATATTTTGTTTTATTTCAATACAATACTTACATGTAAAGTATAATAATATTTATATTCGTTAGAAATACCACATTTTGAACAGATATACAGATCGCCATCCTTTTCGACCAGCAACTTTTTTTTACAAGTCAGGCAACCCTGAAAAGTTTTGTAGTCTTGAATTGTACTTCTCAAACGAGTTTCATTTAACTTCTTAAAATCGGTGTCAATTCTGTATTAGATTTAGATGTTGTGAATCTTTTTAGTTAAAAAAGAATTAGTTTCTGAAAAAATACCTTGTATACAGCATTTTCTGTAAAAATAGAAGAAATCATTGCAGTTAAGTTGAAAAAGTGACCATTTAGCGAGGATTTTAACTCCTTGATCCATCTATGCTCGTGAACTAAAAAAATCAAAATATGCAAGAAAATAATCATAGTTTTGCACTTCGTTACATTCAAAAATGTTTTAAATTCTTTAAAATTTAAATATAGGATTCGCTGGTAAATAAAAGGAAATAAATAGGGGTTCTAAAATGATTTACTATTTGAAAATTTTTATAAAACTACAATTCTCTAAAATGATTTACTATTTGAAAATTTTTACTATAAAACTACCGACGAACTTACATGACGAGACCTGATTCACTGATGCAGGTTTGAAAGTCTTGTCCTTGTTTTCATTGTACCAAACTTGAAGTGCATCGGCTTCGGGAAAATGTGGATCGTGTAACAATTTACTAGATGTCATTGAAACTAAGGATATCGTTCCTGAAACCTCGAAAAATGAGACAAATTTAGCAAAAATCGTCTTCACGCAATTAAATTTCGTCGTTTGCACAGCTTGTCGAATGCAAGCAGTAATTCGCCAACTTAGTAACCTGCAGTCAGTAACTTAAATTAAAAAATAACCTTGAAAACAACGCACAAGCAACCCTTTGGCAGCCAGTACATGTTGATATTGTTCGCTCGGAAATATTTTTGCTTTGTGTCCCCAAAGACTTATTGTAACATAATAACCACTATCATCAACGATCTGTATTTCCCGTTTTTGTAGTTCTTCGCCAGTTCTTGATTTCAATTGCTTCATTTCACCAACACTAATTACAGTTCCCAACACATCTTTAATTACAGTACTTAGAGAAAAAGGACTTCCATAACAAATTTCGCATACATTAAAATCTTGTATATTTTGAAATGTCAATTAATTAATCTCACAAATGTTATTTTGTTCATCACATCTTTTCACCTGGATTGAGACGAAGTAAAATAAGATCAAGTAGAAGAATTTGCTTTATAATAAACTAACATAGCAGTTTAACCGCTACCTATTTCTGTATCTATAAAACTTTGCAAATTGTGGATGCGTACGAACTCAAAATTCACTTTCGGCGACAAAATGTGAGGCCGATCCATGCATTTTGTGATCTGAAAAATATCCCTCATTGAATGCGTTAGTAAACACTGTAATTCGCTCTTTAATATGAGAGAAATAAAGTTTGGTGTTCTTCTATTATCCTGAACAGCATAAAAGGATATATATATATATATACATACATACATACATACATACATACATACATACAT